TAATACGAACAAATGGAACATGATTCCTTACTTTGATTTCTTTTGCTTGCAATTATAAAACAATAAACACGTTAGTAACTTCAAAGAAAATCAATAATATAAATGGAAATTAATACAAATGAAAGTAAAGTTGATTTGGGGCCAAACCCTCAAACAATTTCTACCTTTCACGCCTTGGTTTAAGTTTAGAAATTCAGGTAAAGTACAGACTCCGGGGAGTGCTTAGGGAATGTATTGTGAAAGGATAGGGAAGGCAAGTATTTAGGCTAGAGCATGAGAGAGAGAGAGAGAGAGAGAGAGAGAGAGAGAGAGAGAGAGAGAGAGAGAGAATGATTTTATGGTGCCCCGAAACTGAGAAATCAACCTCGTATTTATAGAGGAAATGAGAAGGGTGAGGTCCGAAACCCTAGAAACGAAGCGCCGCGGAGAAATTAAACCTAAAAATTGCCACGTCACGGCGCAAAACACGGCACAAATTGCTGTGACACGTCACAGATTGTCGTGCCACGGCAAAACCTGCCGTGGCGCGGCAATTCAGCCGTGACACGACATATTCCTTTTCTGGAATTTCGTCTAAATTCATCTTTATCTTTTTATTTAACATTAAGTATAGGATAATTAGGCTTTGTTTCAGTGTTTCGGGCTTATTTCAAATTTAGGGTTTTAATATATTTATTAATCGGGCTTAATTAATAAATAGAAATGAAATGGATTAAAAGAGTTTGGGCTGAAATGAGGGTTGGACTATGCTTTAACTAAATACTTGGATTGATCTGTTGACTGTGTTTGATTGAATATGAATTTTAAGCACTCCCGAGATTAAATACTCGACCCGACAAATAATGGCGGTGAAAGGTTGTTCATCATCGGGTTTGGTTTTTGGGAGACATTTTTAGATGTGTACAGTATCCCTTAATGATATCAGCATGTTTTTGTTTTATTAATGGTTAATAATAATAGAATTAATAGATTTTTGGCAAAAATCCTTTTCAATGTAGTAAAAGATAAAACGATTACACAAACTTTTATATGATGCTTGCCACACCGTGTGGCTAACCATTATGAGGCTTATTTTGTTAGTGCTATAGGGGTTACTCACTCGTTCAATAGGTTACTAAGTCGGTCAGGGGTTACTTGGTCGTGTGGTTAGGGGTTATTCGGTCGTTCAAGGGTTACTCGGTTAGAGGCTACTCACTTTGTCAGGGGTAGGGGTGAAAGTTCAGTTTGCGGTGTGGTTTATAGCTCAAGCCGAAACCAAACCATATTAATTCGGTTTGAGATTTTTCAAACCGCACCGTGCCATATTATTATTCAGTCCAAACCAAACCACACCATATTTAATTCGGTATTTAAAAAAAAAAAAAAACCAAACCAATCCGCAATTTTTGGGCCTAGTGTTTTGGGCATTGATTTCATGATTTGTAACTTTTTTTGGCATAATTTTTCAAAACTTGTTTTTGGGCTTGATTTAATTTAGTTTTTCAAAAGTAAAGCAAACAAATCTAATATCATATCACTAATAAATAAAGCCGGTCTCGCAGCCAGGCCACGAGACAACGACACTTGGAATTTCAGTTTTTCGCTAAGTGTCGTTCCACGTAGGCGAAAAATAGATATTATTATGACACATATGATACTAAGTAAGTTAATTTTGGATAAGTTTTATTAAGATAAAAATGTTGTATAGAGTTTTATTATCTATATACCTCTAATATTTCATATATACAAAATTAATCATAACTTTTAATAAATATCCTATAACTCAGTTCTATTTCCATCATAAAATTCGTTTTAAAAAGTTCTTTAAAATAAGATCCATTTATAATATATTTAATTTACTTTAAAAAAAATAATAGAGAATTAGTAAAAAAAAACAATTTAAGTTCAATAAAAATGATTTCAAGTCAATAATAACATAGATATCAATTCACAAACAAAACTACAAAAAATACACTGTTATTTAATTTAATAAGCGATATTGCATCGTATGTCTAAATATCCTACATTATCAAAAGGGATTGTAGGACTGTATCTAACATTCAAGCAAATAAGTTTATACTGAAATTTTATCAACAACCTAACTAATATATAAATCTAAACTTTTAGTCAAGCCACGAGACAACTACACTTGGCATTCTAACTTTTTGCCAAGTGTCGCGCTACGTAGGCGACAATTAATTATTAATATAACACGTAAGATTTATTTTATTATATTTTTAGTAGAATATGATTAAAAAGTTTATTTTAGACTTTTATTTATAATAAAATTTGAATAGATTTAGTAGGATAAAAAAAGTTATTTTAGAGTTTTATTTTCAATAAAACTTTGATTTAGAATTTTATTTTCAATAAAATACCAATATTTTTATACAAAATGGCGGAACCAAAGTGGTACAAAAGGAAAAAAAAAATCAAGTAGAAAATTCAAATTACATATATATTTTAGATAAAAAAAATTATTTTAAAATGCAATAAACAACCTGGCCATCGCATGGGGCGCAAAACTAGTACTTTTTCTTGAGTTTTTAGAGCGCCACGTAGGTTTTTAATTTTTAAAAAATTATTAGAGTGCTACGTAAGATTAATACTTTAAAAACGCTACCATCGAATTATGCCACGTAAGATTAGTTTTTTTAAAAGCGCTACGTAGGATTATAATAAAAAAACGCCACGTATGATTTATATTTTTAAAACGCTACAATAGCCACGTAAGATTAGTTTTTTAAAGCGTTACGTAGGAATATAATAATAAATAAAAATTTATTAGAGTGTCACATAGAAAAATGTTATGTTTAGTCAATGAAAGAAAGAATTGCAATTTATTTTAGATCTAATATTTTATATTAATTTTAAAAATAAAATCAGCGCGTTTTCTGTGTGGCTGGCCATATCGTGTGGCCGGCTGAGACATATCAAAACACTGACCGAGTAACCCTGACTGTCCGAGTAATCCCTGATCAAGTAATCTTGGCCACACGGTGTGACCAGTCACATATAAAACTTTGTGAAATAATATTTTATTTTTTTATATCAGAAATTTTTTATCTAAATATGAAAAACAAAATTAATAATTCATTTTATAATAAAAAAATTCAAGTAATAAACAAACAAATATCACAAAGTTTATCAGATAAATATATATTTAGTAAAATATTTTGTTTGAAAAAATACTAACAAACTGTGTATCGCACGGAGTTCATCTAGTAATATATATTAACATATATCAAGTCCTAATGATGACATAAGAGTTTAGTTTTTTTTTTTTGTCTTATATATGAGGGTGATTGGACTCTAGGTAATTAGAAATCCTAAATTTCGGTTTGTAGTTCGGTTTCGGTTTTTCTTAACTCAAACCGAAATCAAACTGCAAATCATATTTTTTTTATTTTCCAAAATCGAACCGCACCATATTGAAAATAAAACCGAACCATATTGTTTATTTGGTTTGGTTCGCGGTTCAATTTAGTTTTAAACCGAATTACTTTCACCCCTGAGGGGTTACTAATTCGGACAGGGGTTAGTTGGTCGATCAAGGATTAATCGGTCAAGGGTTATTCGTCGATTAGGGATAACTTGGTGTGTGTCAGCTGTATGGCCAGCTGCACCCGAAAGTTGCTGCTACTGTTATACTTCGTACTACGTAGTACTCAAATTAGGCAATAATAGGCTGGCTGTAGGCTAACCGCTTAGGCGCTTACCCATGTCAAATTTATGAAGCACAGAAGTTGATCCGACCGCTAATAAACCTAATTAATAATTATAATTGTACAAAAATGTTACGGAGTAAATTTGTAGGGTTGGGTACTTGGGTGTAGGCCTGAGGACGGATCGAATATCCAATCCGAAACTAGATTTTGAATCGGATATCCGTATTCGAAAATCTGGATATTTGATATCCGTATCCAATCCGAAAATATCGGATATCTGAAAATCCAGATATCCGAAATTTTCAGATCGGATAAGTCGGATATCCTATATCCGAAATTATATTAAAATTGAATGTGTTTTTAGGCTTAAGACATACAAGTTTCAAGGTAGATTTTACACAGAACAAGCAAAATGATACTACAGTACTAGTAGTATGCAACATCTATATCAACCAACTCAAAAACTAAACCAAATATAATTGATATCAAGTTAATGACCAAAATGATATCTAAAACAACTCAAAAACTAAAACAAATATAATTGATATCAAATTAATGACCAAAATGATATAAAAAACTAAACTCAACATCAACCAATGCCTCAAAGGATTGTACTTCAATATAATTGATATCAAATTAAATGACCGAATATGCTTAACCCAAAAAAAAAAAATTAACTTACTAATTAAATTGTAAAATGCTAAAACCCAATTAAATTGGGTAAACATACTTGATGCCTAACTAACAAATATACTCCATTTATATGGCAAACTTGTAACCTTCTTCTTCCAGATATGAGCATGAATGATGAAAGTAGAGTGGGCTTGTAAAATCACGATTTTAAACATTTCCGAAGCAAGCTTGCGACGCTCATTTGCAGGTAAGCTGCGGGACACGAGATGGAGATGAACTCCGACGCTCCAGATTTGAATTGAACCTCGCTACGAACAACTCCTCGATGCGGTGGAAGAGTAGAAGTGTTGGTCCTGTTTGTGAGTATAAGGTGAATTGCAGAAGATGAAGATAGAGGAGGAAGGAGGGAGGAGGGAGGTTTCAAGTTTGAGATGAGAGAGGAGGGAGGAGGGAGAAAGAGAAAGTATGAAAGAGGCGGATGGCTTAGGGAGTTTAGGCCCTTTAGGGTTACCACTTAGGCACCTACCCGGATGTTTTTAAAATGTTAAAAAAAAGTGTTTTTTTTCGAATTCCATATCCGATATCCGATTTTTTTCGAATATTCGGATATCCGAAATCGAAATTTTTGATATTCGATTCGATATCCGAAATTTTAGGATCGGATACGGATCGAAATTTCGGATTTTCGGATTATTAGATAGTTTTGTTCAGCCGTACTTGGGTGACATCCTCATCAAACTCGTGGTCACATTTTCTTCCTCTCACCACAACTCCGCAACAGTCGGTGTTTCCTTCCCTCCCTTAAACCCCCTCTCATCCTCAATTCTCTCCATTTTCTCAACCCTACTACTTCGTATTAGTCTTCCAATAATCAAATCCCATTTTATCTCAATTACTTCCCAATTCCAGAACCCTAACTCAACTTTGTCTCTCTTCTCTTCGCAATCCCCAATTCACCACTGCCTCACAACTCCGGCAGCCTAATCACTCAGGTACTCTTGAATCTAATTTTACAATGTCGATTTATACTTGATATAACTTTCATGGATTTCTTTTTCAATTTCGTTTTGGAATTTGTGTTTTCACTTTACAGAATGACTTTCTCGAAGCATCTAATTTCTAAACTCCGCAACCTCCAACCCATATCTCAAACCCTAATCCGCCCCTTTTCTACCGCCGCAACCGCCACCGTCGACCACCACGACACACCGTCGGAAGACTCACCCATCTCCATGAAAGGGGTCAAAATCTCCGGCCGCCCACTCTACCTTGACATGCAAGCAACCTCTCCGGTTGACCCACGTGTCCTCGACGCCATGCTCCCCTTCTACATCTCCCAATACGGCAACCCCCATAGTCGGACCCACCTTTACGGGTGGGAATCCGAAGCTGCCGTTGAAACAGCACGCTCCCAAGTCGCGCGTCTAATCAACGCGTCGCCGAAAGAAATCATCTTTACCTCCGGCGCCACCGAGTCGAACAATATATCCGTTAAAGGGCTTATGCACTTTCACCGGACAACCAAGCGCCACGTCATCACTACCCAGACCGAGCATAAGTGTGTGTTGGATTCGTGCCGTCATCTTCAGCAAGAGGGTTATGAGGTTACTTATCTTCCTGTTGAGAAAGATGGGCTTGTTGATTTGGGTAAGCTTCGGGCTGCGATTCGGCCCGATACTGGGTTGGTTTCGATTATGATGGTGAATAATGAGATTGGAGTGATTCAACCTGTTGATGAGATTGGGAAGATTTGTAAGGAGTTTAATATTGCGTTTCATACGGATGCGGCGCAGGCTTTGGGGAAGGTGCCGATTGATGTGGAGAAGATGAATGTGAGTTTGATGAGTTTGAGTGGGCATAAGATTTATGGGCCCAAAGGGGTTGGGGCATTGTATATTAGGAGGCGGCCTCGGGTTCGGGTTGAGCCGCAGATGAATGGGGGTGGGCAGGAGAGGGGGATAAGGAGTGGGACTGTGCCGACTCCGTTAGTTGTTGGTTTCGGGGCTGCTTGTGATGTGGCGTTGAGGGAGATGGAGTATGATGGGAAGAGGGCGAAAGTGTTGCAGGAGAGGTTGTTGAAGGGGATTAGAGATAAGGTGGATGCTGTGGTTGTGAATGGTAGTGCTGAGAGGCGGTACCCGGGGAATTTGAACTTATCATTTCGGTTTGTTGAAGGGGAGAGCTTGTTGATGGGGTTGAAGGAGGTGGCGGTTTCGAGTGGGAGTGCTTGTACTAGTGCTAGTTTGGAGCCGAGCTATGTGTTGAGGGCGCTTGGGGTTGATGAAGAGATGGCTCATACCTCGATTAGGTTCGGGATTGGGAGGTTTACCACAGAGGAAGAGGTTGATAAGGCGGTCGAGTTGACTGTGAGGCAGGTTCAAAAGTTGAGGGAGATGAGCCCTCTTTATGAAATGTATCAGCAAGGGATTGATATTAAGAGCATTCAGTGGTCTCAACACTGAGCTTTCAAGGGTTTGATCAATTGATTGGCTGAATGTGGGCATCTACACAATGTAGAACATCCTGTATATTAAAAGAGCAGCTCAGAGCACGAGTTCGGCTGTCTAACAACAGGTTTATCTCTTATACCAATTCGAGCTTTTAATTGCTTTATAGACTTATTACGATTATGTATCAACTAAATGAGCCAGGATTGTTGAGAGCTGATTGTCTTTAAACCAAACATTTCCTAGGCTTATAATAGTATGTAAATTACTCTACGAGAAATCTTTTTGAACTTTGCAATGGTAATAAATGGCACGTGTTTGTTACATCTATTTTGCAAGTTCTCATTATGTGCTGCCTTCTTTAAGTATTGTGGTTATGTTGCTTGTAGTTGTTGAACAAATATGGTTTGCCTGACAATGATAGGAGCTTGCATAGGTGCAAATTGCTTAAATGTCTGCCGATACAGTGCTTAGTGTTCACCATATTTAATTTATTACTGCTCTGTATCTCAAGAAGGGGTGGGAAGCATTCTTGATTTGAGTACTGCAGTCCTATATTTATATACATTTTAAAACAGAAATATACATCAATACATCAGACAAAATTGTCTGAACATAGGTTCAATTTCACATCATTCTGTAAAGTTTTATTACTCAGTGGTCCTAAATACCTGGTCGAAACTGACTAGTTCAATGAACCAGAATTTTTGGTTTCCTTGTTTGCCATCTGAATATAGCCTTTGCTTGGACCAGTGTTTGGAAAAGCGCGCCTAAGGTGCAAGACGATTAGGGGTATGCGCTTAATTTGGTGTGGGCGAAGCGTTTTTGGTTAGGCGCACAAAAAGCGCATGAGGCGCACCAAAGGCGCACATGAGGCGCACCTGAACCAAACTTCAACCAAAAATATTTAGCTGGTTATATAGAGAGGCGCCCCTAGGCGTTGCAGAACCCCTCGCTTCAGTGCGCCTTGAGCTTTTTTATACATTGGCTTGGACTCGCTCTTGTAGTAATCCACTCCCATGGTCATCAGGTTGATCGTGATTATTTGTGCCTATAGTCTGAGAATCACAACTTCACATTAGAATTAATGAGTATAAGTATATCAATATGTCGGTATTAACTCTTTTGGTTTGTTGTATGGTACTAAATACAGTAACACATTGTGTATGATCCCAAGTCTTAAGTATTGTTCCCTAAAAATATAGTTGTATTTGTTAAGAGGGGGCCTTTGGTTTGCAAAATAATATGATCTTGAAATCTGGATGAAGCAATGGTGCAGGGTTGGAAATTGATTCTTGGGAATGAACATTTTTCTTTATTTTGATACCTGAAGGTGTGGTATGAGCTATACCCTCTTCTGCGTTGGGTTTTTAAACTCCATGCCTTTCGGGTTTGAGGTATGGTCTTAAAAAATGAAATTACCAAAAACTAACTCTAGGTATGAGTTTCACTCATTCTAAACCCGAACTTTATTTCAAAATTATGCGGAACCAAACACCCCATTAGCTAGGTTGCATATTAGTAGTACGTACCTTGTAGTAGCTCCAAGCCTCTAGGACACAAGGAGAAATGAAAGAGCAGCAGAAGCTTACTGTGGCTTGAGACATCACAAGGTTTCTGCAATGGGCCCTGGGGTGATGGAGGGGTGACGAGCGTAGCTCCTTTTGAGCTTCTTGTCAGGCTTAGTCATCCCATTATAAGAAACCAATGCAGGGAATAATTAGAAGAAAGAAATGACGCTAGCTAGATAGGATCATATACTTGCATTATGAGACCAATTATCTACAAGGTGGGGGCTAAATAAATATCATCACTAGAAATGATCTAACAAAAGATGAGAAGAAAATATAAAATATTATTGATTTCGTAAGTGGTACAAGTATAGCTTACTAGAAAGAGAAAAAGGAACACTGTGCAAACTTGATGAACACAAACACCCCTCATGGTTTTGGGTTTGCTGATAGGGCTTCTATTTCACTACTTTTTGCTCTGGCCACATCCTGACAACTAATTTATATACTATGACTACAACTGACCTAACCTGAACAGAAATTACTTAACTGAATTCTGTAAGATGATCAACGAATTTGACTAGTCTAGTTATGGTCAACTATCTCCTATTTCTTTTGTTTTACTTATAATTATTGGGCCGGAATCTTTTAGCTTAGTTATGAGCTTGTGGATGAGACTATAGTTGGGGTTAATTCCAAATTAGAGCAAAGGAGTTAAAATTTATAATCATTGTGGTTTAGACGAGTTGGAGCAAGATTGAGTATATGGAATGTAGTTTTAGCAAATGAGGAAGTCAAATGGGAGTGATTTATATACCTTGGGTCGATTTTGTAGATATTATCGAATTTGATAAAAATGTAGCCCGTAGGATTAAATACGGTTGGCTCAAATGAAGAGCAACAAATGGGGTATTGTGTGATTGTAGCATATCTTTGAAGTTAAAGGGAGAAATTTATGTGGTTTAGATTGTTGGACGCTCGTGTATATTGGGATGGATGTGTGGGAACACCTTTAAGAATTAAATTAGAAATGAAAATATTAGGAGGAAAATTGGAGTTATGGACATCGTGGATAAAATAAAGGAGAATGATATGATTAGTAAGTAAAGTAGAGGGTTGGGATCATGGGGATCTCATAAGAGGCATGGGAAGACCAACGATGACTTGGATGACATGAAGAAGTTAGGTTTTCAGGAGCATATAACATTAGGTGGATAGGAGTGGAAGGAGAGGATCGTGGTTGACGAATAAAAGAGATAAAATCTTTGGGATGAATGCTTTGATTGTTGCTGTTGTTTATGAACTTGATGGTTCTCGTTTGGTCATTTGTTATTTTGTTATGGAGTATTGCAGTAGTAATCTATTTTGTGTATCTTGCATTTGTAGTCATAAATTTTGACGCCTTGTATAATTTGTGAGTTGAAGGAGTTGAGGATTTTGCTGTCTTGTTTTTCCACTTAGCTTCAGCATATTGCCGCTCTGTGTCTTCTGAAGAGTTGGGAAACAGGCTCGATCACTACATTTCATATTTGTTAATTCCTCTTCTCCATGTGTGGTACTTATTACTTAAGTGGTGGTTATAAATGCTGTTTGAAGAGTTTATTAGGGCTGTTCCTTTTTGAGCCAATATGCTAGAAGTATCATTGAGGACTTCAATTGATTTTTTAACTAAGAATTTTAATGAGAATGGTATCGTGGAAGAATTCAGGTACGAGGCAAGTGAGAGAACTTCTCAGCAATTTCTAAAGTTTGCAAAAAGCTAGGGCCTGCTAAAAGTATTAACAAATATGAAATGTAGACAGATCCTGTGAATAATTAAGGGATTGGAAAATATAGACAGATCTCAGAACATATCCATCCTATTGTCCTACCACCATACACTTTAGTACCTCCTATTAGAGTGGTTTTATCAACCATGACTTGGGTCAAAATTCCATTGGTTTCTGTCTAATATAGTGTTGGCTCGATAGAGATACAATAAATGTCATTCGTGTTTTTGGATGCAAGCCTGAAATAGTAAAACCACTTGGAAGTGTGGATGGCAGATGGTTGTTTGGGTAACAATTTCTGATGTCTACATGAGATGACTTGCCGATTTTATCACTATTCTTTTATTCTGCCACTATAGTAGTGTAGTTGAGAGATCTGCTATGGATTAAAAAATGTTTCAGTAGACCATGGTGTACCCTTTTAGTGCTAAATATATGTAGGGATACCCTCGGTTATCTTTGGTGTGTCATGTGTGGGTGTGGCTCCTTCCCCTTTGATGTGTGTAAGCCAAATGGTGGTATATGAAATTTGGGTTATGGTTTTTTAAACTTGAACCACTTGGTCCTTAGTGGATCTGTGTTGCAATTTTGTTATGGTATCTAAATTTTGCAGGAAATTTTGCAGCACTTGCAAAATTCTTTCTTGAGAGGCTGAAAAGGAATGTTCAATTGGATGTAATATGTTTTCTAGCAAAATGATTTTTTCAATTTTCCTCAATTTTCTTTGGTTTGTTAAGGGGTGGGATAACAGTTTTCTAAATGGCAGATACTAACTGGCTCTGGCTCAAAGGTGGGTAACATTTACTTTATAAAGGTTAGGGAACTTACCTTCTTTTTTTCTATCCTCTCAGCTATCCTTATCAGATCACTCCCATTTTTCTTTTTACTATAATTCTCATTTACGGAAACAAAGGAAAATTAGTTTACAAATGTGTTTCCTCAAAAATATTTTCCATGAAAATCATGTTATTGATAATGTTTTTCAATCAAATCAAACAAATCCTTAATTATGCCATTAAATGGCCTGCAGAAAAGTTTTTTCTGATTGGAATTCAGAAATAATGTGTGGAGTTATTACATGTCTGGAGTTCTATTTGATTTCATGTTGAAGAATGTATTTTGTGCTTCTATGAAGTCAAAATAGAGAGTTTTATTTGGTTAAAAGGGGTAGAAACAGAGTTGAATAATCTATTTTATTTGTGCTGGATCTGTTTATTAGTGTGACTCATCTTGAAGAGTAACATTTCTTTAATTCTGCAGTTTATAATTTAGATTTGCTGTTACCTGAAAGTAGTCCAGAATTCCCGCTAGCTGTAGAAACACATCCGTTTTAATAGGACAACTAGAAGTGCTGAATTACTTTGGCCATCAGGAATGCACATAAACAAATGACTAGAGGAAGATTTTATATAGGGGTGGCAATTCGGGTCAGCAGGTTGGGTTTGGGTCAGATTTCGGGTCGATTTCGAGTTGTGCTTAGAAATTATCAAAAATATTGTAAAACTGAATATTATTACGAAATATGATAATTAGGTCAAATCGGGTCGAATTCGGGTTGTTTGGGTTCAAGTCGGGTTCGGGTTTCTCTTAGTAACTTCGGGTCGGGTTAAGGATTGCCAGCCCTAATTTTATACTGTTGTCCCAGTTTATTTGAGCTTCCTTGATCTAATTTACTCATTGACAATGGGTATGGGTCCATATCTGGATGAAGGCGGGTTATATTAATATTTATGCTGCAGGTTTCAAGTAATCACTTGGTATATAATAACCCTTGATCTAATTAATATCTGGATGAAGGCGGGTTATATACCAATGGGTATGGTATTTTGCTATCTCTCCCTTGCAAATCACTTCCATAGAGACATGCTTCATTATTCTTCTGTACATGAAAGTTTTTAGAGGTCTGTTTTTCCTGTTACTCCTTCAGAAAGTTCATGATACAGATCTTAATCTATTGGTAAATTGTTGGAGGAGGTATAATTAGCGAATTATTGTGACTGTTCCGATGTTAATTCCTTCTGAAATCGCTAGCCGTGCGCTTTTTCTAAGC